AATAAAGTTGGTCTAAAATAGATGGAATACAAAATTACAAACAATGATTATGATGATAATGAAGACAATTTCATACAATCAATCTATAACAAAACTCAATTAAACACACATATTTCCCTTTCTAGTGTTTCCTTAAATGAACCTCAATATGTCATGATATTCCACAAAAGGCGCTGCTATAATTCTTGTCCATATACTTTACAAACAAAATTGAATCATAATCTAAATTTACAAACTTTAATATAAAAGATAAAAATAAAATAAAACAGAAACTCCAGGATATAAATAATCTTTTACCGGCATCTGAGTTCCTATCAATTGGGTGAGTAAAAAATGCCACATTAAGGTCATCTTATCCATCCTTTTTGCGCCATGCGTTCCATTATACATGTAAGCATTCAAGATCCCCTTTCTACAAATGAACTTTTTTATTTCTCTAACATTATATTAAACTTCAAAATTTTTCCCATTCCCACCTTCCAAATAATGTTGATGCAAAGATCAAATCATAAAAAGAATGATCAGCCATAACTTCAAATGTAGATAAAATGAAGCTTTCATCAAAGTTTGGGCATCAAATTGTGAAGGGACCAAAAGATGAAGCTTAGTTGATAATTCTGGACTGTCTAATTTCTAAGTGAAAACTGCAAACAACGGTGATTCTCGTACCACACCAACGAGAATGAAGAATGTATCCTTAGGAGTCCACAAGGAAAGATAAATAGTCAATCAAAGGCTTGACAATCAATATCTAAAGTCTGCTAATTTGTTGGATCAATTTTTATATTATAAGAATATAAGAATGAGTTTTAATTTTAAATTTGTTTTAAATATGTTTGCATTTGAGTTACAAAGTCTAGACTAGAATAAATTTTTTAATTATATTTTAATTTAAAATTATCTAGTTTTCTATTTGTAGCCGAAATCAATTAGTGGGATAAAGGCTTGTTGTTGTTGTGGTTGTTGTTTGTTAGTTGTAGGATATCTTATTTTGTGAAGTTTATCTCACTTGCAAAAAAGTCATAATTTCCTGTAATTTCTTATAAATTGGTTGAATTACTATATAAGAATTTGATTTCAATTTTTCTACATTCTCTTTATCTCTCTCTTCTTTCATCAACCATCGAATATCATCCACCCTAATTCCCTCTCATAACCACTGGCAGTAGTACATTTTATAACCTCCAGGCTTCCAGCCCATATGTTAGCCTTTCTCACCCTTTTTTACATTGTTTAGAATCAAGAAACTAATACAGTAGGCATATTCAGCCACAATGATGTTGTCGTGCTTGTAAAATACCTCAAATAATGCTCTAAATTGTTGAAACCAACAACACAAAGTCATATACATTAAGGTTACCTTACTGTAGAATCCAGAAAAGAATTCAAAGTGGCTATTTACAACAAATCAGAGAAGGAAAACAGCACAGCAACTATTTACAACTTATTAGAGAAGGGAAACGATAGAATGTCTTTTTCTGGCACAAGAATTTCGAATTTGTTGCTACAACAGAACAGAGAAAATCGTTTGGTATCAACAATCAAAGAAAAAATATCATCTATAACAAATAGAATAAACAATTTACATCTAACTTCTTCGTTAGATAGAGAAAAAAAAAACTCAATCCCTTTCCTTTTTGTTCTGCCTTCTTATTGCAAAATTCCATTATAACAGAAGCCAAGCAGAAAATTTGAGCAGTAGGAGCTGCACTGTGAATTTCCATTATAGTTACCCTCGGCCCCGACATACATTGCACCATGCCACTAATAATACTAACTATAATGGAAATTTGTAGTGCAACTCCATTTAATTGAAATTAAAAAAAAACAAAAAAAAACTTCAAAACTACACCATTCATTATCGCTGAAAGCTCCAAGACACAAAAATGTTGTGCCATACAAAAGCGCATGGTAGAGTGGCTAAGCATATCATCTCTCGTAGAGAAACAAAATGCTCAAAGCAAAGTTTGGAATACAAAATTTCTTACATGCTTATGAGGACATTAGTCTACAAATCTGTTAGATTTGGGATTGGACTAATTTGAACACATAAAATAATTGATTCCAGCTTAGCCGAGCAAGATACACAAATAATGCTTAGTCAGCTTGAAGTAATTATTGAATTAACACCAACCTAGCCTAATTAATCAGCTTATCATTCTGAATAGAGACCAGGATGAAGTCATCCACTCACAAAAAATGTAATCCATTTCTAATCATGGATTAATTGCAACAAAAAGAAACAATCAACAAATATCTAATGTAGTAACTAATATTAAATGCTAAAAACTAATTATAACTATTTGAGGATTATGCCTTTGAGTCTGGATTTTTTTAACAATAATTTTCCTGACAATCTTTCATTAATGGCCTAAACTAGCTCCAATTACCTATCAAGTATTTTATATATTATAATGTGTGCACTAACCAGCCCAACAATCATGAAAGACAAACCAATTAGAAAATTTAATCAACTTATTTGGAACTAGTGAAACCAGCTCATTTTGACTTTGCATGTTCGACACCAAACTAATCAAATCTGATCCAAATCAAAATAAAAAACCTTATTCAATCAATTTTAACAAAACCAAATTTTTTTTAATCTAGATTACCGATTGCAATGAATGAAAAATATACACGAGAAGATAGACACAACCCCAAAGCTGTTCACCGGATTAAAATTATAATTCCCATCTAGAATCCGAAAATGAATTTTACACAAATCAAACATTACTGCTAAGATTTACAATCAACCATAAACCAAACAGAAATCTGAAAACGAGTGTAGGTATATATATATATTTGTTTCTTTTTTTTTTCTTCCAAATAATACATAGCATTAATGATAAGATGCTAGTCCTCCCAGAAACTTTAATAACTTGATCAAGTACTTATCCACTTGATTAATACACATCTAATGAAAAAGACAGAATCATAGCAGCAAATTTGATAGTGGAGAGGTGCTTATCCTCTTGTATACAATGATTCAAGTAAACTTAAAGCATAAATCATGATTTAATATGTATTAGATCACAATTAAATATCAACGGTGATGCACAACAAAGCTCCTCAAATCATCAAGAATCCTTTGACTTTAAGAAATAACTGTTGTACTTCGTTTATAGGTACTGCTATAAGGTTCCATTTGGTATTATTTTGGTTTTTGTTTGGTTTTTTTTTTTCCTTTATTTTTTGATTTGAATTAAAGCATGCTTAGTTGTTATAGTTGTTTTCAAAAGCACCCAAAACATTTTTTAGGTGTTTTGATATTTTTAAAAACAAGTTGATTTGTTTTTAAAAATATATATATATATATATATATATATATATACCGCGCGCGTAGTTATTTTTCTACCACCCTAGACAATTGTAATATGATCATTCTAAGCTAGCGGGAGAATATTGATCCGAGGCAAGTAAAAAGAGCTGACCAACCCAGACAATTATGATATTTAGATCGTTAAACGTTGTTTCAACGGGATAATATCAGTCAGAGGCAGGTAAAGGTCTTTCCACCCTGGACAATGATGATATTTATATCGCTAATCGTTGAGCTGACGAGATAATATTGAGAAGGGTTTGTTAGGTTATTTTAATGATGATCCTCAAACAAACAGATATGTATGTTAAGAATATAAAGTAAAAGTAAAATTAAAATTAAACCTTGAAAAGTACAGTAAAAGTAAATGCATATAGAAGTTTTAGATTATTCTCATTGAGTAAATAACATGTACACGTACATTAAATTATTATAAGATCGCATATAATACTACGTTAAATATATATATATATATATATATAATTATATTGACCAAACATGTATTCAAAAATAAAAGAAAAAATTGAAAACAAAAATAGAAAATGAAAGCGATGCCAGCGGGACTCGAAAGAATCATCACCAACATATCCAAACTATTAGGGTTTTGAAATATGAATTTTTCTTTAATAGTCAAAGATTTTAATATCGTCCAATGTTGCCTATCTGAGGAAAACAGGTTAATTAATAAGTGTTATCTTGGCCAAAATTGAGCATAGCAAGCCATGACTGGAATTAGTAGAATGAGATAAAAATCAACTAAATTTATAAGAATGCAAATATGAGTGTTAGTGAATGAATATATAATTGCATGTATACATGTACAACTGTATAATTCAGAGTTCTATATAAGAAGGGCTGAAAGGCTCGAATACAACTAAAATATCAAACCAAAATTTTATCAATATCGGATCAAAATCAATGAGCAATGACACGTTACTGGACAAACTCGATTAAATCAAGCTAACTTACACTCAATCATAAAATTCAATAAATGTGGCTTCAGTTCAAATAACTCATAACTCTAGCAAAAGGATATTGATATAGTATTAAGTAACGCGTGTATTTCTTCAAATTTACATGAGCACAGCAACAAGGTACAACTAATCAAATGTACACAAAAAATTAAATCAAGCAATATAAATATAACTAAATATTAAAAAAATAGCAATCTGGTATTGATTATACTTGTATTTATCAAGAAATTTGATTTTTCCCACTTTGAAACTATACCTGATAATGAAAGAGCCTGGCCTCAAAATTGAAATATGTTAAGTTAATGCTTTACCACCAAGTTAAGGAGTTTCGATGATATCAATTCCAATTGTTTCAATCAAACAATAGTATATCTCATTTTCTTTGTTGTTTGCAGCTAGAGGATATCGATGCATGAGGTTCCAATAATAACAAGGACTAAGGCTTTTTCATGCAAGTAGGCCTGCCCTAAATTACAAGGAGTTTAATTATTGGAATTTGTGGCTGCCAAGTAAATCTGCAGGGAAGCTGTGCTCCTAATAAACACCTCTAATTAAACAAATATCAGAAAAAAAAAAGATCATGCTGTTTTGTATGTGAAGAAATGCCATTATATAGTGTCATTCAAATAAAATTCAACTAAAAGAGAGTACATTTTTTACTTGGTCATAAAACGCACAAAAAGGTAAAAGAAAATCAATTTACATACCTGAATAAAAGCTGTGGCAATTGCAAAAATCACATAAAGATCAATAATCTGAAAAATATATAAAGGGGCTTTCAGCTCTGCCTTATCAGTCAAAGCTAGGAGAAAGGAAACCAAGTCTTTCTGTAGAGCATATATATACCTTCAGATTGGTAGGAGTCGCTGCATAAGCTGAACGTAAAGAGCGAATAAGAGTAAGAATATCATTGGATGCCGGCTTTGCCATTGCAATCTACGAATTTTTATTATCTACGAATCCAAAGAGAAAAAAAAAACAATAAAAAATTTAGGCCTTGTTAGCAAGATCAGAGGATAATTTCTCCAATACAAAAATAATGATGATGATGATGAAATCAACACAACCGGCATTCCACGCATCATGAAAAAGAATTCAAACATCAACAACAGCAACAACACGGAAGCCATCCAGAATAAAAAAAGGGGATAACAAATAGATCAAGCGCAAAGAACAAATGATAAGAATCATCCAGCGGAGATATTATGCTATATTCCTCCACAACAACAACAAAGCCTTAACCCCATTACGTGGGGTCAGCCACATGAATCCTTTTTCTCCATTGCATCCTATTGTGTCATATTTTCATTTAGTTATAGTAAGTTATAGTAAATTAATTCTAATAAATTAAGATCATTTTTAATACGATAAACCCGTTTTCCTAGGTCTACCTTTGTCTTTCTCAACACAAGTCGAATCTAAAACATCTACTCTCCTAATCGGATCATCAGATGGTCGACGTTTAATGCTATATTCCTCAACGAAGAAAAAATATAACCACCATGAGGTAAGTAGATGAAAAACTTACAAAAAAAATATATATCTATTTCCCTGACAGTCCCTGTTAATTCGGCGTGCTCCTCGCTTCTCTGGTTTCGCCACTGCCCCCACTCGCGGGTATGCGAGTAGCTTAGAGTTGATCCCAAAAATAGGGCAAGGTATGGTGGGACATGCAGACTTTGAGTAGCATTAAGGGGGCTATGATTGCCTGTGAGTAGGGCTGTCAAATAGGCTCGTCACCTGTCAAATAGTTTCGTCGCTCGCGAAAGCTAGTTCAACTCGTGTTTGACTCATATGAGCACAAACAAATTTTTAAGTATGAAATATAAATGAGTTGAACACGAACAAACATTTGTTCGTATGTGCTCAACTCGAATTAGGCCAAACATATAATATATATACACACACACACACACACACACACACACACACACACACACACACACACACACACACACATAAAAAACTTATCATACTTTAAAAAATTAAATCTTATTTAAAAAAATTAAATCCAATAAAAAATATCATATACATATTCATGTACATTTGATGAGTATTACTTTTAAAGAATCCAATAAAAATTATAATTTACTAAAATCATATTAACAAAAAAATTAAAATAAAATATATATTAAATTATTCATTTTTATTAAAATGAATTAAAAAAATCTCTCGTATAAATGGTGAAAAGACATGTGTGTGACTCTCAATCTAAACTTAATTTCGCATTTTTTTAGTTCATTAGCCGCCTCTCGAAGTCTTGTTTCCTTCCTCTCTTCTTGAGGGAGTCATTCCTTTCTTCTCGAGCGCAAGGAGGTAGGAGGCAGGAGCCAAGGAGCATGCAAAAGCCAAAAGTTGGGTTTGTCTCCTCTCTCATTGGCCCGTCGTCTACAAAAACTTGAGTTTCTTCTTTCGGTTTCGAAATAGAAACTAGGATTTTCTTGATTCCTATTTTTGGATATATTCCTCTCTTGGACTCTTCTCTCTATTTTTTGATATATTTTCTGGAATACTTTCTGATATATTTGAATCTTGGATGGTTTTATAAATGAGTGCTAGAAACAACTTGGTAGACTTGCCTTTCGAAATTGGGTTTTCATGCTTTCTCGCTTCTTTAATATAAGATTTTCGGATGCGAAGGAAAAACTATGATAGGAACTTTTGCAAAGCATTTTCAGGGCTTTGATAATTTCTCCCTTGAAGTCTTTATATATTGCATGTTTTTCTGATGAATGCAGAGAAGCGAGTCTTCTTGCATTGTTTTTATATTTAGAGTTTCGTAAAGAGAAAAATAAAATTTTCGTTTACTTTTATGGAGAAAGAAATGTGCGAATGTATATGTTTTTCATGTTTCAATTGAGGTATAGACATGACCCAGCTTATTTTCTTGAAGGGTTATGATCTCACTGTCTTCGCTTGATGAAATTTCTCCATTTATTTGAAGGGAGTTATATCTTTTGTTGGTCCATTTTAGCTATTGAATGTGTATGTTTCTACTCTTGGAGAGATTTGGAATGAAGGTTGTGTCAATTCCATCATCATCGTTATTATTTTTTTTTTATTTGAGAATTTGTCCTCTAAACTTGCTAACCAGGCCTAAATTTTTTATTATTTTTTCTCTTTAGATTCATGGAGAAAAAAAATTCGTACATAGCAATGACAAAGCAGACATCCAATGATATTCTTATTCTTTATATTCAGCATTTGCAAGTAGGCCTGCCCTAAATTACAAGGAGTTCAATTATTTGAATTTGTGGCTGCCAAGTAAATCTGCAGGGATAATCAATCCCTCTAATTAAAAAAATATTTAAAAAAAAGTATCATGTTGTTTTTTTGCATGTGAAGAAAGGCCAATATATAGTGTCATTCCAAGAAAACATTGCATTTCCAAAAAAGGTGTTGGGACCCGTTAATAGAAAAAGTTACCTCCACAAAATACTCTCACGCTGTTTACTTCCTCTCCCTACCTTTCTAAGCAATGACTTCTTCATTATTATTATCAATGACAACTTCTGACAAAACTTCATGCACTACTTTTGGCTCTATATTTTGTGAATTAAGATTTGCATTTTCATTCTTATTCTGAACTTTAGCTGGCAACTTATTGCAGGATGCTTCAGATTGTGAAAAATCTAATTCAGACATATTTACACGCTATTGAGTAGCACTTAAATTAAAGTCATTTAAACTTTTAATTTAACACAAAATTAAATCTTCATACATGACAACGAGTTGACAGAGCATTTCTAGTAATTTGTTTACTCCATAAAAGGGATATTTTGTAATTGAAAGAAATATGACATATTTTCTAAAAAAATAAATAGCAAATATGTTTCTCTAATTTCTACTATTATGAAGTGAGCATAATCAATTTTCTCTTTTATGATTGTTGTATGCACAAGGGGCAAACTTGCCCAAAAGTAAAGCAACAAGGTGAATTTGCTAACTAGTTTCCAAAGAAAGCTCATGTAGCTGAGCTTGACGCTTCTCCATGCTATCAAAGAGAAGAATTTCCACCAGACCCAATGAAGTGACATTGTGTGAAGTGTTAGGGGAAATAATAAACCAGCCTAGGCATAGTAACTAGTAAGTAGTAACATAAAAACTGAGAGAAATAATAAACCAGCTATCTAATAGTGAAATGCAGCAATAATAATGAAATATAACACATGGCAGTTGATCTTGAAAATGCACAATAGTCAACTCGCAACATACAAACACCTACTATGGATCATGAAAATATCATTCATGTCCTGCTCATAATTTTTTCATCATTATTGTTACAATTGATGAGATAAAACATCCTCCAACTTCTAAAGAACTTGAAATCTAATTCTTGTGAAAAAAATATCACTGATGCAAATATTTTGAATTAGGCCAATACTTAAGCAAGAGTTTCAGGAAAGCAATCATGCATGAAAAGTTTTAAGGTATGCATCTTCTTTTCTCTTATATTTCACTACAAATTCTGTCATTTTGCATAAGCAAGAAGCGAAATTTATAAATGGACGGCCATTCACTCAATAGCACTATGCTTTACCAAATCAAACTGATGCAGTATACAGACATAATGAGATCATATGTAATGTAAGTCATGTGTGAGTAAGGTAAAGTGATGGCGTATACAGGTTCCGTAAAGTTATGCAATATACATTAACTACTTTGAACACAAAGAGTAGCACCCAAACTGCTTAAACAGTTAAACCTGTAGTGTATTGAAACTTATATAACAATTCATCCAAATGAAATTTAAGAACGAACAATAGCTGAATAACAGTTCACAACAAAAACCCTTATTATCAATTCTAATCTATAATAAAATCGGATATAGAGGCAATAGCCGAATCACAGCACAAATGATTAAACCTATATGATGCTTAAACCTGTAAGAATCATAGCACAAAATGCACAGTAGCCGAATCAAATTTCACACCAAAGCCCATATATCAGGTCTCATCCATAAAAAAATCAGATCAAGATGCAATATGCGAGATTTCACTCCCAAAAACTTCAAAAAATATGTTTCACTCGTAAAATCTAAATAAAACTAAAAGAAATTTAAGAAAACTAAGCTAAGAGGCGAACCTGGTGATAAATATGAAATATTAGAGAAGGATGCTCAAAGATAACACCTCGGTAACCACAGAAGCAATCGAGCGAGAATATCGAGCAACCGAGCAACAATACCGAGCAGTCGAGCAAAGGCTGACTCGCAGAGGATAAAGAGACTGTATCAAAGAAAAATAGAAGTAGATGTTAGAAAACGAACAAAAACGGCAAACCCTAACCTCTCCCCGGCCGAAAGCCTTTTCGCGATTTTGCGATTTTGCGATTTTGAGATTTTGAGAAGAGAATTTGTGGCCGAGCCCGAAAGCTTCCGAGAGGGCAAGCGGATTATACTAATTAGACAACTTAAATTATAAAAATATATAATATTTATATAACTAATACTATAATATGTTTATTATTATTATATTATATAATATAAATTATTTGATTAATTTTTTAAATATGATAAATTTCTTTTATTTTAAATTTGAATAATTTATTATATTTAATTCAGTCTTCATTGTTCTTAAATGGTGAAATATTAATTATCATGGATACAAGTTGAATAAGTGGATATCAGTCTAACATGTATGCAAGTAAAAGAAAACACAGAAGAATATTTGTGATTGTCATATACTTGATCTACGAGTACTACAATATTAGTCGGTCGCATGTATGACATCTTCATATATTAGCGACAAATGTGTTTGAGAGTTGTTTATGGGTTATCCCAAAAAATATTAAGTAATATGTTTCGAATGAGACATGAAGTATTCATTGATCTTTTGAAATAACTCAGAAAAACTCATGGACTTCATGGATCTATTATGACTGTTTCACATTAGGTACTGCCAATAATATTGTTCATACTATTAAAAAAAAAGGGTAATGCTCTGTGATATGTCTTCTTATAAATTCGGTAAGTATATACAGATTGTGTTTATTACGATGACTCTCCACAATTACATCGCAGACACCATTCTCGTAGCAACATTAACTTTCATTTGGCATATGAGGATCAAGAACATGTACCGACATAAAACTTTTGAATGTCGTATAAGGCAGTCTTTGCCACAACATGACGATGAGACTTCCATCACCTGTACTATATATTGGAAATGTGCAAGCGAGACAACAAAATTGGGGGAACATATTACTAATGCGATAGCAAGCGTATGATTTAAGAATTTGATATTTTCTTATCTGCAATTTATTCAAATACTGTAACTTTAATTTTTTAATTCGTATATTTTATTTTAGGTTTTATTTAATTGATTAACCTTTATTCTGTGGTTTAATATCTCATCATTTTGACATTAAGAATTCAATCCAACATATCTACCGCCTAAATTTTGGGTTCATTTCCAAAACAATTATTGTAAAAAAAAAGATGCAAGAACACCTATTATAAAATTTGCAATTTGTTTGTAGTATTTTAGGTTGTAGGGTAATTATGTGGTTTCACGAGATGATACTTTATAATTGTCACTAGTAGTTGATGTTTGCTAGTTTTGATATATTATTATTATTGTTTTCAGATTTTTTTCATATAATTTACAAATTAAAATAATTGACTAATGGATTTTATTTTGATGCTTTCAGGAAATATGAGCTTCATAATTTTAGGAACGACCCGAAGATTTCTATGCCACTGCGAGCTAAAGGCTTCCTTTTTGAGGTCACATCAACCCCATAGCTATGGTCGACAATTTTACAAATGCCCCTGCAGACTCGCAAAACAACGTGACATATTCTGATGGATTGACGGTCAGGTTGATTCCACTACTGAAAGTAATCGCGAATTGATAACATCAATAGATGATAATTTTGGGCGAGACATACATCATTTTAATGTTAAAAATAATATCATTATTACCTTACTTGTAATTTTATTAGTTTTTTTTCTTTTTCTCTAACACATTCGATTCTCACTTTTAAGTGAATTGTATAATTAAACTTTTTATTGTGTTTTGAAAATGAATTTATGATTTAGAAGCATTAAAATATGTGACTCACAATTATGTTTTAAAAAACTTCACTAAATAGGGACAGATTCTTCATTTTTTCAGAAATAGCTGCCTCACACAAATGTTTTCACGCAGATCCAACAAATAGACAATCAACTTTTATGCAACAACTTCTTGGGACAACACAACTGTAGACGAAAAGCTGATAAGAGCCTGTTGTAGTTTCTCTTTTGCAAACACGTCAAAGAGTTTTAATTTAATTGAACCTTAACCGAACGAAACAATTTTCTAAATTTAATGCTTTGGGATTTTGATAAATCCATTCTCCGACTATATAAATCCGAAAAAATATTACATCAGCACTACACACGTAGAGTAACGTGCGTAGTCAATGAAATCACGTCACGATACCCCGCGCGACACAGAAAAAAAACGGCGCAGCAACACGGGGAATATTCCCCCCGTGTTATTCATGTGTTATTGTGTGTTATTCATGTGTTATCGTGTCCAGAGAATATTTCCGGTGTTATAATAACACAATAACACATGAATAACACACAATAACACAAGAATAACACGGGAGATAATATTCTTCCGTGTTACTACGCCGTTTTTTCTCTGTCGTGAATATTTCCCGTGTTATTCGTGTTACTGCGCCGTTTTTTCTCTGTCGGGAATATTTCCCGTGTTATTCAAGTGTTATCGTGTGTTATTCATGTGTTATAGTGTCCTGAGAATATTTTTAGTGTTATAATAACACAATAACACATAACACATGAATAACGCGCAATAACACATGAATACCACATGAGAAATATTCCCCATATTACTGCGCCGTTTTTTTTATTTACCGCACGAGATATTGTGACGTGATTTGATTGACTACGGACTTTATTTTTAGGTGAATATCTAATATTTTTTCATACAAATCCCTCTCCTCCCCACTCAGTGCTCTGACGCACCCGCACCAATGGCCTCGCACACTCCCCACTCCTATCCTCAAACTTACTCAGTTGGGAGTTCGCTTCCACCTCCGCGTTCTGTTTCTCTTCTTCCGATTTCGGTTTCCTCTTCTTCCATCTGCCGGCCCATTTCCAAAGTCTCCATTGTCAATAGAAGCGGCCGGTGGCTGCCCAAGCAGCGCTACGTGCAGCCTAAGAATGAGGTATCGTCGTCGGAACCGAATCTTAGGGCTGGGGTTGCCGTCTACAAGCCCAAGTCCTACGAAGTGCTTGTTGCTGACGCCTCCAGGTCCCTTGCCTACGGTTTGCAGGACGGCAAGCTCCGGCTTGAGATTGATTTCCCGTGAGTCGTCTTTCGCACGATCCACATATCTTCTAGTTTTTCCTGACATATTATTCCTCTTTTCGGTCCTCTCTTGGGTTTCTGTAATAGTCGCTTCTTTTTCCCATGCGTTGTTTCTCTTTCTGTTGGGTTATACCTATCTCTTTTCAGTTTTTTATCTTTAATTTGTCTATGAGATATGATGAATTAAAAACAATATTTTGTTCTGAGCGAGTAATCATAAATTTGTTTGTAATATTTGCAATAAGAATCGGGACTGGCAGAAATACCAGTTTTTTTTAACTTTTCAGTTGCTATTAACGTGACAATGGATGTAACTGCACTAATTTTGAGTATCAATGTTCTAACTTGCGGAGACAGAGCGGATCACATTGTCAGCCTATTGACATTGAAAAAATTGAGAAGTATCTAACTAGTTTTCTAGGTTTGGCCAAGGCTCTGCTATAGTTTTCGTAAGCCTTCAATTATGTTTTTGGAGGAAATAAAGGGCTTCACTTTGATAAAAGAATCTTTCTGTCGTTTGTTGGTATTTTTTATTAGGGAAATTTACACATGCAGCACAAATTTTTAATGTATTTACATATCTCACATCTAACCTTTCATATTTACATACACAGAACTTTTGTTTTAAACCTATGCATGAAAAAGTGAATTTCACTTTTAAAAAGTGGCAATAATCTATTTTAGATGTGATATTTAAAATTTGAGATATGTAAATGCATAGAATTGTGTGCTATGCATGTAAATCGCCCTTTTTAGTATCATGAACCTTGCTTTGGATTTTCAAAAATTGGTCAGCGTAGTTGTAATTTTTAGCTGAAATGAGTGGTTTGTTTGCACAATATGAAGTAATAGATTCTTATTATCAGCACAATCTGGTAAAACAATTTAATTTTTTTCATTGGCCATAACTCACCAATACTGGTTTGTTTTCTTGCTAGCCGTTAATTTGGTTGATATGGTTGGTCACAAGAGAAAATTGCCTATATGGTTCAATGAGCACGAGTAGGCTGGTGTTTTGAATTATCATGTGGGTTTTTGAGTTGGATGTTACATAGTCTTACAATTAATTGCAGTCAAAGATTATACTTATGAAATCGCTTGATGAATTAGCAGGCTTTGGCACACTTATGGCATGCAAATTTTTGGATCTTTGCATTCACGAGCACAGGCTAAATGTAGACAACTGGACATTGGTAGGTTGCATTCAAAGTTCTAAACTATTTTTTCCATGATAAGAATTGAACTTAAAACCTCAAGATTCTAGATGAATTAAGTAGCCAAGGTTTCCAAACTTGATTTGCATTCTTAGTTTGTCTCCACTTTCTAATTTATAATTTAAGAGGTTACAAAATGTCTCATTGTTGCTTTTGATTCCTTCTTTATTGTCAAAAAAAGAAAAAAAAGAGAAAATAAAGAGGAACGGGTGTACTTTTTGTAAATCTAAATTGAAAATAAATTTAAGTTATGAAATAGAGGAGATAATTTGACTTTAAAATAAGTTTGTGGGATTTAAACTTGTTCATTTTCGTTCAATGGTATAATAAAGGCTAATTAGGTTACTTAGGGTACTAAGAGTTTATCTAAGTTAATTCAATTCATTTATATCCTGTCAGGTCCATTAGCTCCCAATTGAGTCAAAATTTAGGCTACTTAGGTGAACTTAGCATGAACAATGTATGAGTCAAATCGAATAAAGTGGCATTTAAAAAATCAAATTAAACTTCATCTTCTTAATTTACTTGATGTGGAGGAAACAAATTAGATTTTTTCGACGTGTTCCTTTAAAAGGTTGAGCCTTGGCTACTGTCACAATTACATGGGAAGTCATCCTTATCTATGAGGGGCAGAGCTCCAATTGCAATGTGGGAATCTATTGTTATTCTTAAAAAAAGTGCCCAAACCCAAGGAGGACGTGGTCACCTTGGACATGCTTGTGATAAATCTAATAGGATAGTCTAAATCTTGACGAGCTGTTGGCGACGACTTCTCTTATACCTCTCAACTAGTTGATTTATTGTCAATCACGGACAAGGGAATTTTTTCTCATACTCTCATAAGGAAGTTACACAAAGGCATATCTAATCTCTGTGATTCTCTTGGCAGTGACACCTTTATTAAATCCACATAAACTCTAAATGGAGTTCATGATAAATTCGATATAGCTAAGCTTGTCTCAAATGCAATTAATCTCTCAAGCATGAGAAGATGCATTACATCAACAACAACATGTGACATTGATGTAGATAGGGGTGCAAATGAGCAGATTTTGATTGAGCTTGTTGTATGCTTGTATTTGGCTTGTTTATTTTATTTTATTTTTTTGTTTGAAATTGACTTATGTTTAGTACGCATACATATTGCTAATGTTTTTCTTTTTTGTCTGAATTCAAGTCAAATACAACAACAACAACAACAAAGCCTTAATCCCACTACGTGAGGTCGGCTACATGAATCCTTTTTCTCAATTGCATCCTATTTAGTGTCACATTTTCATTTATTTCTAGTAAATTAAGATCATTTTTTATACAATAAGCCAAAGTCTTCCTAGGTCCACCTCTGCCTTTCTTAACACAAGTTGAATCTAAAACATCTACTCTCCTAATTGGATCATCAGATGGCCGACGTTTAATGTGACCAAACCATCTAAGACGACTTTCTCTAATTTTGTCCGTCACAGGAGCTACACCAACCCTATCACGAATATATTCATTTCGCAATTTGTCTCTAAGTGTAAAGCCACTCACTCACCTAATCATTCTCATCTCGACAACGCTTAACTTATTGTTATGCTTCTTTTTTAAAGGCCAACATTCAGCGCCATAGAGCATTGCAGGTCTCACCACCGTCTTATAAAATTTTCATTTCAGTCTAAGCGGTACTCTATCACACAAAAGACCCAAAGCATTCATCCACTTCAACCAACCAGCTTGAATTCTACTATTAACATCCCCATCTATATCACCATCACTTTGAACAACGGACCGAAGATATCGAAGATATCTAAATCGTTCAATAATTTGATCACCCAAAGTCACACTTCTGTCACTAGAGCTACTACTACTAAAATTACATTCCATGTATTCAGTTTTAGTTCTACTAAAACGAAGGCCTTTAGCCTCCAATGTAGACCTCCATATCCATATTTCAAGTTTTTCCTGGGTTTTTTCTCTTGTTTTATCCACGAGAAAGATATCATCAGCAAAAAGCATACACCAAGGTACATCCTCCTGTAGATGTCTAGTAAGACCATCCATAACTAAAACAAAAAGATATGGGCTTAAAGCCGATCTCTAATGTAATCCAACAGAAATTGGAGAATATTTGGTCAATCCTCCTTCAGTTTGAACACAAGTAACAACTCTAGTATACATATCTTTAATGACTTGAATATAAGTCATATCAACACCTTTCTTCTCAAGAACTCTCTAAAGGATATCTCTTGGAACCTTATCGTAAGCTTTTTCTAAATCAATAAAAATCAAATGTAAATTCTCCTTATTATCTCTGAACTTATCCATCAAACCTCTCAACAATGGAGTCTCTGAAAGGTATTTTTGCTTCTTCATTTGAAATTAAGGACTTAAGATCGCTCAAGTATTTCTTAGTTATGGAAGTTGCTCGGTCATCTCGAGGTATTTGCTTGTCTCAGAACAAGTATGTGCTTGTTCTATTGACAGAGAATAACCTACTCTTATGCAAACCAATGACAATTCCAATGGATCCTAATGAGAAATTAGTTGTTGATCCCAATATTATTCTAATGAATAGGACTTACTACCAACGTTTTGTGGGAAAGCTCATTTACTTCACTCATAATAGTTCTGACATTTGCCACACTATAGGTATTGTGAGTCAATTAATGCATGATTTTTATGAGCATAATATCAGAGCTGTCCACAAGATCCTCCACTATTTAAAAGACACACCGGTTCAGGTTTATTTTTTTCACGTCACACCTCTCGTTCTATTACTGCTTATACGGATGCAGATTGGGTCGGGTCCATCCATGATTGACGATCATTCTCAGGATATTGCTTATTCATGTGGAGAAATTTTGTCACGTGAAAAAACAAAAAACAGTCTATTGTGGCCCGGAACAGTGCTGGAGCCAAGTTTCGCTCCGCGTCCTTGGATATTTGTGAAGCCCTTTGGTTACGCATCATACTCCGTGAATTTCATTTGCCTGTCTCTGATCATCTCCAGCTATTCTTTGATAATAAAGCCGCCATTGACATTGCCCATAATCCGGCTTAACATGATCGCATCAAACATGTAGAGATTGACCTACACTTCATTAAGGAAAAACTTGATTTAGAAGAGATTTGTATTCAATTTGTTCCATCTAATGGTCAATTAGCAGATATCCTCACCAAAAATCTTTCTAGACCATTGTTTGACGACTTCAAATCCAAGTTGAATGTCACAAACATCCATGCTTCAATTTGAAGGGAGTATTAAAATTATTAGCTTTATTTGCTACTTTATTTTCCTTTGTTTCCATATTTATATAGTTCTGAATTTAAGTCAATCCTTTTATGTGGATATTGTAATGTGTATTGTTTCTCTATTTTCTAATGTTCACAAATATTAAAGATTTGAGTGCTAGGCGATGTAAATGCCCCAAAAATAAAGATAACTTATAGTCTACACTGCTAATCAAACAAATCCAAAATAATGGTTATGCAAAACAACGTAAAACAACTTATTTGCATTTCTTCTGGCAATTGTGGACATTGAGTTTCATTTTTAAATAGTTTTCAGTAGCTTTCTAAAATTGGAATATCCTGTTTTCTTGTCTTAAAAAAATGTTTTTAAGAGACTTCTATTTTTTTCTTTTCTTAATATTGCTTGTTTCTCTGTCTTATGTTTTGTTGGGATCTGTTGCAAGGCCGTTGCCAAGCAGTATTTCTTCTTACAAGGTATGGATTGGGAACGTTTATTGAAATAACTATTTTCTTTGCTGTTTTATAATTTAACATTTTTGTTGATAGAGGATAATAATATTACACTTTTCTGCTTTATGACCTTATAGGAATTAAGCATTTTAGATAACCAACGGTTTTATAGCTGTCGTTAATTGATGCACATTAACCAAGGGCACTTGGATTAGTATCTTTGGTTCCGTGAACTCAATATTGTAAATAAACTACTGAAAAATTTGGGAACCAAATAATGTTGAGGAATTCATGTTGATCAATCTTAACACTGATGTATCTCCTGCGACAAAATACTTTAGGGGAATTTACATACAGAACACATATTTCTTATGTATTTACATATATTACCCCTAAATATTCATATTTAGACACAACACTCAAATATGTAATATGACATAAAAATAACACTATTGCCACTTTTTAATAGTGAAATTATCCTTTTCATGCATAGGTTTAAAGCAACAAAGTACTACATGCATAAATATGAAAGTTTAGGCATAAGATTTGTAAATACATAAGAATTGTGTGCTGCACATGTAAATTTCCCAATAATGTATTGCAGAATAAATGAGCTCTTAAATGAAAATCTGATCGATATTCGGGAGATTCCAAACTAGTGTAATATAGCTTATGCAAAACACAATTATACTTCATAATTTGTTACATTTTGAGCCATTCATGGATTTCACAATTAATAACACTAATCCAGGGATCGAATAAATATTATCTCTCGTATTTGTATTCAGCTAGCGGGCGGTGTTGACCTCATTTTTAGTGAGGTCTTAGTGTCCTACTCTCAGATTCCAAAATCTAGCCTTAAGAGTTTCTTGTTGACCATATTAGCAAACTAGTAATAGAGCCCACCTCCCGTAGAACTTCAAACCACTTCATGACTCATTTTTGTGAAGAACTCGCATGAGTGGTTCCAAGGACTCAACCTCTAGTTGCAAGGGCTAAGGGACCAACATGTAGATGGCTCGAAAATGAGTTCCTACAGAATCATACGTCCTTAGGTGAACCATCCGTGACTCAACAACACACTCGCTACACCACGCACGAAGTTGACACATTTTTGACCCAACCGTCGGTGAACTAGTCCGGACGACCCCCGATGACGAAATAGACCACACCGGCGCGTATGGGACGTCGATTTTAGCCGGAAAGGACACCCATATTGCTATGGTTACGCGTGCACACAAACGACACGAAAATCGATGCACTTTTTTCTTTTAAATTATGGGGTGCAGTTCTGGCTTAGCACGGGTGCAATTCGGGTTCGATTTGGGCTGGACACGGGCTAATTGCCTCAACTTATATGATTTCGAATTTCAAACTTTAAATTTCAAATATATCATTTAAGATCCCATTAGGCATTTCCAATTAAGTTGCTGTTGTTGGGGGAAACTAATTTATTTCCCTGCTAATGCTCAAGGTAACGACTCCCTCGCTCGAATCTTCGGCTATACTAATTGGCAACCTCCTGACCTCGACACAAAGACGCCTGCTGCGTCTTCCCCCTCTATTCCTCGCCACCGAAATCCTCGTCTGCTCCTCTCCCGCTCGACGCCATCTCCTCCAGTTCGAAACCCAACTTCCTTTCGACCGAAGATTCCCGCTCTCCACCGCTCCACACCGAAGCCGCGCACCAAAGCCCCCCGCACACCACGCTTCTCTAAACCAAAACCCTAGCCCCTCGCCTCTCCCGCTCCACACCTCTCGCTCGACTCCTTTCTTCTGCATCAGTCCCCAGCTCGACTCCTCCCCTCAGCACCGAAATAGTCGCCTGCTTCAACTCTTCCGCTCGACACCATTTCCCTCGCGATAGACCCCCGCATCTCCCTTCCAGTCCGACCTCTCCTGCGCGGAGACCGCTCGCCTGCTTCGCTCTCCGCTGCACCGAAGCCCTCACTCGCCTCTCGTTCTCTGCGCCGAGGATCTCGCCCAACTCAACCGAAACCCTCACATGCTTGGACGACCCCTCTTCACCTTCTTGCCAGCGATCTCCTCCATGTCGGTGATCCCTTCTGCGACCTATTCCCTATCCTTGTCTTGCTCTTGATTGTGCCGAAAACAACGTCAAATGGGTTGAATGTTGCTTGAAAATCTTCTTATGTCCTGGTACCTAGCAACCGCTGAAGTAGAGCCTTTTGAAGCAGAACAACATCAGTTGGGTAAAGAATTTTGCAGGCAATGCTTATTCCATATAATTATGGTGCTCTTTTATTTCTAGTTTTACCACAGATGAAGTGTTTTAATTCATGTTTCCTTATGTTTCCTGTCAATAGAGGGGAAGCATAGAGCAGTGCCGATGTTTATTCGATGGAACATTTATATACTTACCACTCAATTGCCCCACGTTTACATATCTAATACCTAAACTTTAACTCTTACACACATACCACACAATTCTTATGTATTTACATTCCTAGCACCTAAACAACCATATTTACATGCACACCACTCAATCTTTGTGCATTTACATGAAAAGGTGTATCTCAACATTTTAAGGATAGAATCACGATATTTCGATGCAATATGAAAGATTTGGGTGGTATAAATGTCAGAATTGAAGTCTAGTTTTGAGATATGTTAACACAGGAATTGTGGGGTATGCATGCAAATCTTTATTCGATTCTTCTTGGCCGGTTGCTCGGTATTATCGTTGTTTTGAAGAAGGATTGAGATGTCATTCTAACTTGTCATTCTTACTGTTTTGCCTCGACTTTTTCATTGTTTGGACACTATAAATTGCTAGTTTCAAAGGCTTTATATGCCACCAGGGTGTTGATTCATTTACTGTTTTTGAGGGGCTTTGTGCCCCCATTTAAATGCTGATTTTGGGGGACTTTATTTGCTGTTTTAATGCTGTTTAGAGGACAATTAAATGATGTTTAGGGGACTGTTTTGGGCTGATTTTGTTGCAATCTTGGAGCCTATAAACTCCTTTTCTTGGGCTGATTACACACTGTTTGGGCAGCGTTTTGAGGTGCGTTTGTTGGCTGATTTGGAGAGGATTGCACACTATTTTGAGGCGAGTTTAAGGGTTGTTTTGTGGGCTGGTTTTGGAGCAGCTTGGGCACCGTCTTAGCACTATTTTGTCTCAAACACTTAAACCTTGGAGTCATCGCTACAGCAGGAGGTTCGGAGCTAAATTCATGGGCAGCACGATGAGGAATTCATACCGAGCAACAAGGGGATCTTCTTCAGCAAACTCTCTCCCTAGTCTAATTAACAACCCATAGGACTTCGAGGTAGCTCGCCTAACGCGACGTAAATCCTCATCCTTTTTTTAGGCTCCTGCACAACTATGTTGTGCAACGTAAGTCCTAACTCACTTTAGGTTATGAGGATGTCGTTCGTTACGGCTTAAACCCTCATCTCTTTGCGGACTATTTGCATAACTAGTTATCATGCAAGTGTAAGTCTCAAATAATACAATTGACAGGATTAAGCACCTAAATAACATCATCTCTAAAACTCAGCCACACATTAGGATAGTTTGGGAAATCACTGAAGTTTTTTTCTCAGAATCTATACATCCTTTACATTTTCCTTCCTTTGGACTTCTGAAAATAACTGTTTCTATTTGAGCCACTTCCTCTTGCTTTTCTACGTCCTACCGTGAAAACCTAAACTTTGAATTCTTAAAGACTAGTGCCTCTGATTATTATTGAGAGTTTTCCCAAGTGAGTCCCGTCATTTAGAATATAATTAACTATAGGAGCTTGTCTCTATAGAGAATTTGGAACTCATATAAAATAAACCTTATTTAATCTTTGTATTAGATAGGGGAACTTGTCAGTCACACATAAAATGCTCGCAGACCAAACAAATGTCACAAATCTTTTTAGTTTGCAGGATTGGGTCCCAACAAATTGTATGCATATCGATGTCTGCACTTATCTTTCGGGAGAGTGTAGTATTCGCGGTATTGGACACGATTATGCGAACTATTGGACGAATGAGATCCATTTGGTCTCATTGTTAAAAAATTAAAACACTCTACTTTCAAAATCCTAACCGTATACCTCTTATATTTCAATTAAATCTCAAAATTATTTTCAATTTTCAAAAATCATCAAAAAGTTGACCGACAGGCGGGGGACCCTTCCAATTTATATTCAACTAGAAAAAATGGAAAAAGAGAAACAATAGTGATCTTGATCACCCCAACGTGGGGAGAATGTAGAAGTTTCTTTTTATTTTAAATCAAGAACTTGCCACCCAAATAAGATTGTCAGGCAATACTTTAGCTGAAAAATTGTAAAAAAAGCATCTTAGAAAATAGCATTACTACCAAGCTTGCAGATATTTTATTTCCTTGGGCTAACATGCATGCAAATTTTATGCTTGTTAAGTTAAAAAAATCTTTTCTTTTCAATTAAATCTCATGTCTGAGAAGTTTGATCTCTGTTAACAATTGCTTTGTAGTATTAAAAAGAACAAAGAATGAGATTTTTCATAGAAGTTTAACTTACTAGAAAGTGGTACTGTAACTGTGTAGATACTACAGCCATTTATTACATTGAGCAGTTAAGATTATGTTGTCCAAATAATGATCACAATTCACAAGAACATAGTTCTCTTTCAGGAAATAAATTTTAATTTTTTTTTTTTTGCGTTATTTTATTTAGTTGGCTATATGCTTTCAGTCTGTCCTGGGCAAAGGCTAGTAGATTTGTCTCCCACATAATCCCAACAATAACCTAATGCTTTAAAGGACGGGGTGTTAAATTGTATGTGGTCCAAGGGTTTTTGTTTAACATGTTCAAGCAGCTCCTACCTACCCATTACTTGGTGTCTTAGTGAAAGAGAACTGAAAGTATATAAATGTGAGTGACCCAGAATTGTCCTTAATTACCCATTTGTTTTGCTGAATTAGTTGGAGAGACGAATGTATTGCTTGGTGTAGCTAATGCCATGTGTAACAAGGAGGAAATCTTATGAAAAATTAAAATGACACATTCTGATCAAAGTAATCTACCGGCAAAAAGGGTTCTATTCCTACAAACACATCTTAAAGCTGCAAGTTAAATTAGATGATGAAAACCTTTATAGATGCTATAATATGCTACATTTGATGTCATGTTAGTGCTAGCAAAAGCAAAGATTGCAATTGACTTTTGATGCCTGATTATTGAAGGAGAAACCTCTTGTGCAGTGGGACAATCATTGAGTTAAAGACGAGAGATTGAGAGGAACAGATGAATGAATATCTTAACAAGAGGGTGGCAATAGGTATAGAAAGAAGGGAAAGAAGAGAGGGGGAAGAACTGATCCTCAAAAGCTATTCTAGAATAAAGTCCATTTCTTAATTCTATCATTAACCATCTGATTCTTAAAGCCTACTATGTATAATTGTTGCCATAAATCCAACATTCTAACACCTTGATGGATTTTTAAAGACTTAGTTATGCTAAAAGTTTGGGGAAGGATTTGAATCCAATTAGTAAAGGATGATGTGAATTTCGAGTGACAAAGGAATGATGACAGTGAACATACACATAGTATGGTAAAAAACTTATGGGTGGGTGCTAAATTAGTTCTAAATTTTTTTTTTTCTCTCCATTGAGGTTTTAGTGTTTTTTTTTGGTTCAAAAATTATTATGAAAGCCGAGAATGATTATAAGTTATGAGGGAAAACACTAAATATTTGCAGAAATCAAGATGAAGAAATGGCTTTGCCATGACCAAAACTCCATAGTTGAGTCGGGAATGGTTTGGTGACTGCGGTATGCTCATCAGGTTTCTATAGTTTTGTCCTTTAATGACAACACTCTCCACAGCTATTAAGAAGAGTGGACTCAAAAAAAAAAAAAAGAAAGAAAAGAAAAGGGAAAGGATGGCAAGCTAACCGCATATTTTTTCAAAATTAAATTTCAACAAATATTTGAATAAATTTAATTTAATATTACTTTTGAGTCCAATCCTAAGTAGGACAGTCGACAATGTTCAAAATGATCAATTTCATAATGATGGGTATATTTATCACACATATTAACTGGAGGGATCTATCCTAAAATTAAAGAAACTTCAGGATATAAAAAATTTAATTAGCTTAAATGAAAGTAATCATCAATTGCTTAAAGCAAAACCCATCTACCTCTATAACTTTTTCTCGAAGGTGACAAGTTTAGGTTGACTCGAGCTCACATGGAATCAATGTCATATCATGCATATTCTCGCATCATATCATGCATATTGCACATTCATTCTCAAAACAATCTTATGGCAATAACGATGTGGCTTGAGTTCAAATTAAGCTATGCTAAGATTTGTATGGTGAAAAATTAGATTTTGGTGTGAATGACAAGAGTTATGCTGCTTTTATTAGTAGTGTACCTAATAATTATGCTGCTTTTATTAATAGTGCACCTAATAATATCTGTATGATGGGTTATAAACATGCGTTCTTGACATAGTTTGATGAGAAGGATTCTAAAAATTGACACAATTTTATTTACAGTTGGAAAAACTTATGATCTATTAGCAGTTTGATGCATGATTTTTTTAACTTTTCACACTGAAGGGATCTTCCGATGAGTTTATTGATGCCAACATTCAACTTGCTCTTGCTGCTATCAGGAAACTTCAAGAGATAATGGAAATCAAACCTTGTATTGTAAGTTGAACCATTTCTTTTAATCTTATTACTTCATATCATAAGAATGCGGACCTTTCATTTTAATGCTAAGTAAGTCATGTCTTCTAAGTTCACCTTCACTTAAAAAAACAAGTTTGTTCCTTTTTTTTTTATTTGGCGATCTCGATTTGTTTCAGTGCTATGAGGCATCTTTCCAATGACAGTGTGATAAAGTTAATATTTGGCAACTGTAATCACAAAATATTTTCTACGAATGTGCTATATTCACAGAATTTTTTCATGATCTGTAATATTGATATTATGCAATTTCTATTGCCTTCACTTGTGGATAAATTGGATACAAATTTTGTTTAATAATTTCAATTTGCTGAGATCATGACATGAAGTTCTAGTCTATACACCTTTGTTATGCATATTGTTCTAAGTGTATACCTTATTAGTAAATGATTGCCGGAAAAAAAAAAAGAAAAGAAAAAAAACTCATCAATACAAGCGTGAGTGGAGAATCTATGGTTCTTCACTAAGAAACCAGATCAATGACAAGCTTTGCCTGTTAGACAGTGATGTGCTCAATCTGTTGAGCTCCTAGTTATCCTCTTATTATAAATTTACTTTCGTGATATATGAGGGTTAGTTTTTGCATGTGTTTGTTTAGGACAGTCATCAACGTCTCTCTTTTCCCTTCTATGGTTGTATCCAAGAGGTCGAGTGGTGCTTTGGCTGTATATTGCTTCTGAGATGGTGATCTTACGTGCTGCTGCAACTAGAAAATCACCTTGTTGTTGTCTTCCCTCATTCTAGCATCCCGAGACTACTAACCCTTCCTGTTCTCTGTAGTTTCACTCCTATTACTCGCTACTACCAACATTCCTTTGCTGCCACCATACCATTCAACCCATCCACGCCTTGAATAATCACCGCAATCACCATAGATCCATCCTAGTTGTATGTTGTGTGTGTGCTTGTTGCAATTTTCTAGTTCAATTCGTTTTGTTGTACTTTCCTATTTGAATTCATCAATAATATTGTTTTCGCTTTGTTGTTTGGTTAAACTCATATTAGAGCTACCTTAACCCTAGTCTTATCCTTGGTTACCAAATCTCATAAAAAAACCCTTCCCTTCGCTGAATTTTTAAATTAGCCACCCAAAAGTTGCTTTCCCTCCCTAAATCACCCCCACATATCTTTCAACTCCCCAAACCTAAACCCTAATCATTCCACCGATGAGACAAATGTTGGACGCCATTCAAGAATTTATTATAGAGAGTTGTAGCAGAAAATCCATTGACTTTCACAAAGGCTTGCTAAAATTGAGGAAAATACTCATAAAGATCACCGTCGATTGTGCTAGCAAGATTCGAAGAGAAGAGATGTAGGAAAATCTGAACCCTTTTGTAGGGATGATTCCAGTGAAGAGGAAGATATTCCGCGACGCTTCGGGATTCAGTATTAGAGGAGGTCGAGGGATGGACTGATTTTTGGAGGACACAAAGATATGGGAGTGAAGGTCAATTTACTAGATTTTGGGAGAATAAATCTGGATGGCTTCCTTGAGTGGTTGCAGATTGTTAAGAGAATTTTTGAGTATAAAGAAGTGCCAGCTGACAAGAGAGTGAAACTTGCTACTATAAAGCTGACGAAAATTGACTCTTTGTGTTGGAAGAATCTAAAGATTGGTAAAAAGGTCAACACAAGATTATTACTTAAGAGAAGATGAAGAAAGAGATACAGAGAAAGTACTTATCCCCACACTACCGCCATGACATTTTCTTGAAGCTCAATCACCTACAACAGGGGGAGTTGATAGGGAGTTCATGACAGAGTTTGAGCAACTTATGCTGAAGTGGAAGCTGACAAAACCAGATAAGCATGTTTTAACCAGATATTTGGGAGGCCTAAAACCGTCCATCAGAAATGTTGTCTAGCTACAGTCGTATTGGTCGTTGGGTGATGTTCAAACCTTGACATTGAAGGTGGAGACACAATAAAATTAGATCAGGACCCCACCTTCACTCAGATAGTCACTTGCAGAAGGAGCTAGTAGCAGTACACCCGAGGAAGGTGTGAAAACTGTCCAGAAAGATGACATAGTCGATCAGAGTGGGAAGAAGCCCGAGAGGAACGATATACCCAGTACAATGCTTGCAAGGAAGTGTTTCAAATATCATGGGGTTGAATACTTCGATTTCAGTTGTTCTACTACCAGAGTTGTTTCTTTCATTGAGTAGAGAGCAATTGAAGAAGCGGACAATGGTAATGTTGACACAATAGATAGTAAGGATGTACAGGAGTACCAACTTCCAGTTGATGAGGGTAAGGTGCTTATGATTTGCAGGGTTCTTAGATTGAGGCTACATGAAGGCTGCAATGACTTTGCCATGGCATCTTTTATACTTGTTGCATTGCAAAGGGAAATGTGTGCAGCCTTATCATTGATGGAGGTAATTATAAGAATATGTTGTTTACACATATGGTGGATAAGTTAGACCTCACTACTCGGAGACATTCAAGACCATATTTCCTGACCATATTTTCTGATTTGGTTGAAGAACGTGAACACAATTAACATTAACAAGAGATGTCTCACGGAGTTTTTTATTGGGGACCAACTACAAGATCAGGTGTGGTGTGATGTATCCATGTATGCCTATCACATTCAGTTGGGGAGACTATGAAAATGTAATCGTAGGACTCAACATGATGTGTTCAAGAACTCCTAATTCATTCACAAAGGATGAAAAACACATAATTCTCCTACCTTATGTGGAGTCTGGTTTATAATTGCTATTATTGGCAGAGTCGTCAGGGGGATCAATTTTGGTGGTATTAAAGAGTAGTGAGGCAAAAGAGTTGTTATCAGACAGTTGAGAACTATGATGGAGAGTGTTTCAGGATATCCTGACTGACAGCTTAGTACCACAGCTGCCACCGTTAGAAGAGTTTCAGTCTATCTTCACCTCAGAGAGGAATGAGTCATTCTTGGGCTATTTTTGGAGGACTCTATAGCGTAAATTGAGCGTGTAGTTCCAGTTCAATTCAACAAGGTATCCATAAATGATTGACAAATGGATGATTGTTCACAATTGGGAAAATCTTCTTAGGTGTTTTGTGTGATAGTGCTTCCGACATTGGGATTCAGGTGCTTCTGAAATTGCAGCAAAAGACCCTCCAATTTTGGGAGGATGCAACAGCTCCACCACCTTCAATGCGACTGACCTGATGTTATATCATGAGACGACGGAAGCTTCAATGGATGAGGTCAAAGCTCCACTGACCTCGGGAGATTGACGTTGATGTACAAAAGCAAGCGAAACACCTGCATGTCCGGACCGATTCGGTCCAGATTTTCACTTGCTGTGGAGTTCCAATCGGTCCCCTAGGCTCGATTCTAGTTATCTTATCATTTTAAATTTGCTTTCGTGATGTATTAAGGTTAGTTTTTGCGTGTGTTTGTTTGGGACAGCAGCTTGCGCTTCCCTTTTCTATTTATATGTGTTTGAGTGGTGCTTCAGCTATATCCCGCTCTCTAGGTGGTGAGTATCCTTCCCTGACCTCCTCCCCATCATTTCCTTCATCGCTTCCCGTCTACTTTGTTGTTGTCGCCCAAAAATGTAGAAAGTTGCTACTTTCCTGCTGTATCCAACCTTCCCAACCCCCTTCCCCTCTTCCTTGTTGCCACCGTAAAAAAATCACCCCTTTACTGTCTTCCTTCCCTCCAACGACAGAGGTGGACGATTTTCTTCTTTAGCAACTAGTCTTGTCACACCCCAACTAGTCCTACTTTTTAAGGGTTAAACATGGTGCAACAAAGATGGACAATTTAACCATACTAAATTCTTACAAGCACTCGTATTGACTTGCAAAATCAGGACCTAGTGAGTGATGAACTCGCCTAATTAAATTACCGCAAACGTATATGATACATTTTATTTCATAATTCATTCACATTCACCTATATTTGGAAGCATGAAAAATCATATTATCAAAACATATATATCTATTGCTTCTAAATCTAACATAATAAAAGTACATACCAAAAAATTTGTATAAGCTCCCAGAACTATAATGCAAAAACTGTACAAGCCACACTCAGCTACTCACCTTAGTACTCCTTACCTTCTTCTGAAAGTGAACAACATAAAATGAACAATCATAAGCTCAACGAAATAATTAAGAATAAAATAATATTTTTTTAACGAAAAAGAAATAATGTGAATGCTCATGTGTAACTCATGTACATGTCCATAACATATGTCACAACATATTATAATTATATAATACATGTAAAAGAAAATACATGTAGTGCAGAGAATTATGGCCGATGCCTAAAACATGTATTTCATCCACTCATGTAAAATCATAAGCATATTTATAAGAGTCATCAATCTAATTATATTGCATTTGTAATTCTATAGATGTCAACTATTTTCATGTTATGGGTTGTCACCTAGCACGAATGTTGCATTAACTATTGATAAATGTTGGGCTCACACAACATAGCATCTATCAATAGTCCTCATGGTACCAACTGTTTCCTATATTTCATTGTCGTCTGAACTTAAATCTTACTAGAGTTTCGTCTCCATATGAATATCAGGAGTCTGGAATCCTATCACTCACTATCATTCATACTTGCAAGTACTCATGTAATAACCTATCTATAATATCACTTGTGACATTTCTTAAATCATAATTCCTTACCATAAAAATTTCATATATCGTATGCATAAATCATAATAAATGAATACATACATGTAATGATTTTGTAAGCATGTTCATCAGGTTAATGACATAGTAAAATCATTAATGTTGTAAGTGACAATTCAAGTTTGCATTAATAAAGTAAATGCATGTATTTATCCACAATATGCAAAAAACTTTAAATGCAATGGTCTCAAATACATAATCACATGAAACATACAAAGAGTAATTTTTTTTAGTTAGCACATAATTATTTCACCTGAATAGACAGAGCAACCTTACGACGAGTTTCTTCAAGCTCGCATCTAGCTCGCTGCCACAGTTTAAACAACCTGTAATTCGTAAACAGTTAAGATTTATGAAATCGTGGCTTATTTCGTTATTCAACTCCAAACATGACTCATTACAAATTCTTACCTCAAAAGTATTTCTCGACATAACCAACTCTTCTCTAAGACTTATCTTCCTTCTTCCTTCTTTCTTCTTCCTTCGTCCTTCTATCCCCTTTACCCTTCTTCAAAATTCCTGAAATGAACCCACTTGTGAGCATAACTCCTAGATTGCCGTCCGCCTCTTCTCTGTTCACACGTTGCTACAGGAACCGAGCAAAGCTTCAAGGGTGTGGGAGAATTCATGAGAGAAAAGTGGGGACTCGACATTTAATGTGAATCCATTGGATCTTCGCCATTTGAACCATCATACGACTGAGAATCACGAAGGAATGGTAGTGGCTACAGTGCTGTGTGAAAGATTAAGGAGTTAATTATGATTGATTAAGTTTAATTAAATTTTGTAACTTCATAATTTTATATCTTCTCATACGTTTAAAATTCATGCATAGTGTTATATATCAAATTGATCGATTCGACGTGTAGATTTTTATGAAATTGATTCAATAAAATTTTGGGAAATGCTACATTTGGGGTATACTTTACCATTGCCTAAATTTTATTTCTCAAAATTGGGTGTTGCGAGTCCTTTGTTTGCCCTAGTTTGGTTTACTTTTCATAACCTCCCGTGAGTTCCAACAAACAACACCATCTTTAGGGGAGCTTAGTTATAGGATCATATTCACTACAAGAGCTGCTAAGTTATAATATGTGAAGAGCCGCAAATGACTACAATACCGTGTTATGGAGAGAATTAGGTTTTGTGATTAGTTGAGTGAAAATAGGGTATTTTGTTGGGAGCAGGTCAGAGAGAGCAAACATCTGAGAGAAAAGAAAAATCGCGCTCAAACCATTTCCCAACAAACTTCACTTATTTCTCTCTTCAAACATCTATAACTAAGCTGTCTTTGAGATGATTAATGAGCCTATTAACGAACTTCACTGATTTCTCTAGCCTCCTCTAAAAAAGAACCAAATTGAATCTAAGGTCCCTTGGCCTACCACATAATTTCTGTACTGTCTTTAGAGATGATTAATGAGCAGGCCACCTGCCACAGCTGACAAAATCTGGGTAGTTTTCACCTTTCGGGCATATGGCTTTGGGCGCATGGCTTAGCTTGGTTTAAAATTGAATTTGAATATTAAAAATAGAATTCTTAGATAAAAATGTATGATTTATTGTGGAAAATTTCAATACTCAAATAAAAGGAAAAATTATTCTAATAATATGATTAATAGAGATTCAATTTAACTTTAGATGAATATTTTGAGCCTCGGTTGACCTGGGGCCGTGCCAGTCCATTTTTGAAATCCAACGTGTTTAGTCATATAGAAAACATATCTGTTAATCTTTGAAAATGCTTTTATGACATCTTTTGTTTTCTCTCTTTATGTATTGCAATATCAGGTATTCCCCGACAAACCAGAAAAACGCCGTGCTACTCAGTTGTTCAGAGCAGCACTAGATACGGTATACAGTTATTTAACATTGTTTAATGCACACTGCTCTTTTTTCTTATTACGACAGATTAATTCATACGTTTTTCATACTGATATCGGTCTTTGCTTTCTTTTTCCACCATATGATCAATTGTAAGGCACATTCTGATTCCTTAATAGATGATGTATTTCTTCTAGATAAATGGTTTATCACTTAGTTCTTTGGATGATGTGCCAAGTGGTCCCTTGACAAGTTTCTTCAAGTCCATAAGAAACACGCTTGACTTTGATTTTGCAGACGATAATGAAGGTTTGTCACTTTTATTACGCACGTTTTAATTATAAAGATATTTTAACTCGATTTCTGTCCTACAAGTTTAACATTTCATGTGATTATTTCTAGCTTCAGTTCATTCTTTTAGAAGCTTTTAGGCTGAGAAGTAAATTTGTCGCTGGATAATGCATTTCATGTTTTACTTGAAGGAAATGCAGCAAATGCTGTTTTATTTTTTACGATAGTATTGTTTAGATTGTTAGACTTAGCAGTCTTTCTGGACCATCATTTCTAGGAAGACGTCCGCTGAAATAGTTTAAAATTTAAAATAATGAATTAAAATGTTTATATGATATCGAGTTTAGGATCAGTTGAAGAAAGAATTAGTATGTTATGTGTATTTTTAGTGTGTCATTTTATAAGATAAATTTATTATTATGCAGATAAGTTTAAATATTTTGAATCTATTATATTAAAGAATAATGAATACAAATGAAGATACAACTACTAAAATTAAGATGAGGTGGTTATAATAGAGAAATATGTCATGTGTATGGTGGCGTAACTTATATTTTGATGGCTAACTTGTAAATTTATAAAATTGTAGCTTGGTTGGTTTGGTTTTATGGAAATTGTAGCTAGGTTGGGTGGGTTGTATGGGCCCAAGGGTTAAAAAAAAACAAGCCAGGTTAAGTGCCTGAAAAAATGAAAATGTTAAGATGAATGCATGGCGAAAATTGTAAGAATAATTTGAAAAATTATTTTATTAAAGGAACAGTAGAAATAACATTATTAAAGACAAGGTAGTGGAAAGTACACAATGGGTTGATTATCATGACCGACCCGGGGCTTAAAATTAATCAAGATGGGAACAGACGATCGGACAGTAGGAACTAAGTTTTTTATATTTATTTACTAGTTAACAAATGAAAGAGCTACTAATTAAATTAAATAAAAACGGTAAAATTATATTTGTATTGCTACTGATTGTTCGTATCTTTTATAAACATTATTTCTTTTATTGTTCATCTTTTCGATTACCTAATTAAACCTAAAATATTAATTTTAAAACACCAATAAGCTAAACAATGTTAGTGAATACTCACGCTTCTAAATTACAATAATACAAGAGAAAAAAAAATAATATGTATGCAAATTAAGCTTTCAAATAAATCAATATAAACATTTGACATGCTATTCAATGAATTTTACTATATCAATATCATTATATATCTGTACAACCGTCACAGGAGAACTATCTAAAAATTGTGTCAATTAAGACACATGAATATAAATATCCATTTTCATATACATGCATGTGTACCTTAATGTTCCACCATGAGTACGATCAAGGGGTGATTTCATCATATCTGTCAAGCACATACAAACAATCAATATAAATCTATCATTTATGTGTTCGTCGCATTCAATTCAATATACTATATATAACTTACATCAATGTATTTTATCAAGTAATTATAAACATTTCTAATAATGTGACTAATTAGAGTTAATATATAAATTAAAATAAAGTTTGTGCTAATGTCATTATTTACTAATGCATAAAAATCAAGAAGCAAAATATTATCATAGATTAAAATTACGAATACTCATATTGATGTTAATTAATTTGTCTTGATGTTGATTTTGATAAATTGAAAGTCTAAAATAAACATTGTATAAAATTTAATTAATTTATTATTTTAATAAACAATTAAATTTTCATTATTTATTAAATCCCCATATTTATTTTATAATTCTATCTCTCTCTCTCTCTATATATATATCTATTTATGGAATTCTTATTAAATATTATAATTATCAAACTTACCCTTAAAAATCCTTTTGGTTAAGCCCTAAAACACGCGTTACGCGATTCCGCTTGCTCCTCTCCCTTCTGCGCGCCATAGGGGCGTGACCTCCTCCTTTGTATGGTAGCATCGCTCGAGAGAGCTTCTTCCCTGCGCGTTGAATCGCACGAGAGCTCCTCCGCATCATCCTCTTCTTCGACTCCTATCTCTTCTCATCACTGACGCCGATACTTCCTCAGGCCTTCTCTTCGCCAGCTAGGTTGTCTGTCACGCCTTCCTCCTCTCCTTCACACGTCTTTTGACTATCAGATAAGTGAATCTCGCATTGGTCGTGTCGTTTTATTGGCATACTCGTCGCATAGGCTTTCGATCTCCTCATTTCAACTTTCAAACTCCTCGCTTCCTCCCCCTTCTGCTCAACTCTTTGATTCCTCTCCGCTCTCTTCTTTTCCTCTTTTATAAATAAAACAGGTTGTTACAATCTTTTCTACTTACAAAAATTTCGTTCAAAATTTAAACTGACTACAAGTTATTTCTCCTTAAGTAGGTTGATATAAACTTTTCATAAATTTTTCTATCAAACTCCATTCTTCTATAATTTCTGTGTAGCCATACCTGAATGGATAATAGTTATTAATTTGAGTTAATTTTAATTTCATTATAATTAAAATTTTTATAATTATTCAATTGTTTTTTTCTAGATTAGATTAATTAATCCTAAACTTTGACTCTGATACTAGTTTTATTACGATCCTAGGATATTAAATTAACCAAGGCGGGAACAGTCGTTCGGACTGTGAGAATTAAGTTTTCTATATTCATTTACTATTTAACAGATAAAAGAGCCACTAATTAAATTGAAATAGTGAAATTACATTTATCTTGTTATTGATTGTCTGTGTCTTCTATAAACATTTTCTCTTTTATTGTTCATCTTTTAAATCACCTAATTAAACTCGAAATATTAATTTTAAAATAAATAATGCAGTGAATATTTATACTTCTAAACTATAGTAATACAAGAGAAAAGAAAACAATATGCATGTTGGTTAAGTTTTTTAATAAATCAATATAGACATTTGACATTCTATTCAATGAATTTTACTATATCAACATCTCTCTATATCTGTACAACCGTCATATGAACATCGTCTAAAAATTTTATCAATTAAGGTATCAACTTCAATATCCTTTTCCATATGTGTGCACGGGTACCTTAGTGTTTCTTTACTAGTACCATCAAGGGGTGACTCCATTATAGTTAGTAAGCTAAATAATGCAAGTGAATACTTATACTTCTAAACTACAATAATTCATGGGAAAAAAAGGTAATATGCATGCTGGTTAAGTTATTTAATAAATCAATATAGACATTTGACATTCTATTCAATGAATTTTACTATATTAATATCATTCTACATCCGCACAATCGTTACATGAGCACCGTCTAAAATTTTTATCAAGTAAGATATCAATATCAATATCCTTTTTAATATACGTGCACAAATACCTTAATATTCTCCTACTAGTACCATCAAGAAGTGACTTCATTATAGTCAGTAAGCTAAATAATGCTAGTGAATACTTGTACTTCTAAACAACAGTAATACAAGGGAAAAAAAGTAATATGCATGCTGTTTTAGTTTTATTAATAAATCAATATAAATATTTGACATTCTATTCAATGAATTCTATTATATCAATATCATTCTATTTTTATACAACCGTCACATGTGCACTATTTAAAATTTTTTTCAATTAAAACATCAATATTAATATCATTTTCTATATACTTGCACGAGTAATTTAGTGTTCCTCCATTAGTATCATTTAGGGGTGAATCCATTATAATCAGTCATGTACATACAAGCAGTCAATATAAATATATCATTTATGTGCTCGTTCTTTTCAATTCAATATACTATATGTAACATATACTAATGCATTATATTAAATAACCACAAACATTCCTAACAATGTGACCACTTAAGTACCATATATAAATCAGAATAAAGTTTGTGCAAATATCATTATCTACTAATGCATAAAAATCGAGAAGAATCAAAATATTATCATAGATTAAAACATTATCTAATGGAATTGCACGAAGGATTATCTTAATATGTTCAAACTGGTTATTCTCTTAATTAAGATTAGTTTTTATCTGCTTGCATTATGTAGTATCGCCAATCATTTTACTGACAACCATATGTGCACGCATGTCGTGGATTAGACGGTGCTTTTATTTTCTAAATGGAGACATTTGTTTTTCTAATTATTTCTAGCAGGATATATTATAAAGGAGAAAAGCCCAAAATAATCTTCCTAACTAATTATATTTAGCCAACCTAGTTCTAGAATACAGATTCTCCTTAATTCAGTCCCTTGACTATAGAAAATTGATGCCAAATGGGAGAAAAAGCCCAAAATAGTTTTGTACATGGCCATTTTAGCCTCAGAATATTACATTTCTTCAATTTTATTTCTCAGTATAATTGATCCTAATTTTGTCTTTTGACATTACAAAATTGTTCCCAATCAATTTTGTAAAATCAATGGGCTAAATAGGATAAATATGATACTTTGTGATTAAATTTGTCACATAAGAATAATTAATGGATTTTTTTTTTTTACGCTTTTACGCTTTTTTAAATTTTGTTAGCTTGTTAGCACATGCTTCATATATTCTAAAAAATGCAAGTTAATTGAAATATTTCCTTTCCTGTTAAACTTTTTTGTGTTGCTTCTTTAACTATATTATTATATATTTTTTTATTAGATCAATGGAAGTCGGATGAGCAGCCCTCCTTGTTTGTGTTTATCAACTGTAGCACTAGAGATCTTTCTCTTATTGAGAAGTATGTGGTACGTGGAATCATTTAAACTCAGACCATATTTATGTCATTGATGGCGCTATGAGATAAATTTCATTTTTTATCGGCTAATTACTGCCAACTTGTTATCTTTGATCTCCATAGCTCCAAATTTAATTACTTTTTCCAAATCAGAAGAAATGAAATTAATAAACAAAATGATGGATTATGTTGAAGACTGTTGGGTAATAAACCAGAATTGCCTCAAATCAATTAAACCATTCTGAAGCAGCTTTCAGTTCATTTCTGGAATCAATTTTGAATAAAACATTAGAACATCTTAACCAACTTCAGATACCCTTCTAAGAAAATTAGGAAAATTATCAGATTTGACTTTGACAAGGAGAGCTTATTTATGGCTTATGGCTTCCACCAATTCAAAGTTCAAGAAGAATTGATCCAGGCAATCCTGCGTTTATATTTTGTGATGTGTTTTCTATAAATGAGATCTATGACCTTTGATTACAAACATGGAACCGAATCATTCTTCCTTAGGTCCATCCTTTTAGACAATGGTAGAAGCTCGGAATATTTTTTGCTTTCTTAATAGTTTATTCTAATCTTAGGTTCAAACTTTTTTAAATAATTCTATTAAATTTTCACTTTAATTTGTGCTATATTGAAGGTTGGTTCACAAAAGCAAATTAAGAGGCTAATAGCTTTCATTTAGTGATGTAAATATGAAAGTAGGGCTATATTAGATCAATCGTCAAGCATCATACCATCCAATCAACCAATAAAAGTCCTGCTTGACTCATGATGTGTATCAAGGTGTAATCCTAGGAACAAATAAACACCTGAAACTTTATGACATGCAACATAATAAAACCGATTACTAGTTATTATTTGATAGTTTAATGATTTCTACATAATTTATGCAAAGTTTATATTTAGCAATTAATATGGAATGCAAGTCAACTATATAAAATAAGATTGCAAGATTACTAACTATTAATGATGCAAATAAAGTGCCGCACTCTGGCAGCACAGAGCGTGATGAAATGATATCTATTTTGTACTAAATAAAATTCATATACAAACAATATAAATATCAGGTATAAGAAAAAAGAAGTTAAATATTTTTTCAATTACTAAATCACACAACGCCAGTTTAATAAGAAGTAGAATAATATCTAAGGCGAAAAAAAAAGAAAGTAAATTACTGTAGACTCAAATTAATCTAGCCCCAACAAATATATAATAACTTATATATAAACTAAAAGTATAAAAAAAACCTGATGTTGAATAGTCTGCTCTTGTGATGACGATCCGCAAAACATTCTGATAGAACGTACAATTAGAAAATATTAATACGTTATTTTCACAAATAAATCCTAGTAAATAGCCATTATTTATTAAAAAATAAATGATATGATTTTGGAGCTTTCAACATGAGCAACAAAAAAGATAATTTACTATAATATAATATTAAGAACTTAAAGTTGTCAAATTTATCATTATATTTCAATGGCTCTAACAATGCCTAACTATAATCTGTCATATGTATTGTGAACTGCTGTTCAATATAATGATAACTATTCTCAATCATTTGATAAATTAGAATAAATTACGATTAATTTTGCATTTCTCTATGCAACCATATTTAGTTCAATCAAGTCGTCAATCAAGCCTTACTAATATATGATTAAACTATCATTTTTTTTATTTTATTGAGTTAATATATATAGTTTGAAATTAATTACTAATATATGATTACTAATATATGATCCACTTTGCCCGGATGAGAAAAGTGGAGGGTTGCGTTAGGTAGTCGACAGCCAGCGTAAAACTTGTCGAAAAAATCATGACATGAATCCTTTTGATCATTGTGTAAGTGCTAGGGCGTCCCCTGGAAGCGACGCGCTGTATAGCCTGAATACAGTGAAAAGTGTGCAAGGGCCGCTACACCGGCGCCCGGGTGTAGTGTTAAATAAGCAAGGGTTCCCACATTACGGGCGAATGCGGGTAAAGAAGTTAGTCCATGAAACTAATGAAACTAATATTAGGATAGGATCTTGGAATATAGGCACTCTCAATGGTAAATTAATGGAATTAGTTGATATTATGATTCATAGGAAAATTAATATCTTATGTATTCAAGAAACTAAGTGGGTGGGAGAAAAGGCTAAGGAGATTGATAATTTAGGTTTTAAACTTTGGTATTCTGGTAAGAGTCGCACTAGAAATGGTGTAGGTGTAATTATAGATAAGAGTTTGAAAGATAATGTTGTAAAAATTAATAGAGTTGGTGATAGAATTATAGCCCTTAAGATTATCATTGATACTAAGATTTTTAATATTATAAGTGCTTATGCTCCTCAAGTAGGTTTAGATACAGGGTATAAAGATAAATTTTGGAATGACTTAGAAGACTTAATACAAATGATACCTCTTGAAGAAAGAATTTTTATTGGAGGAGATTTAAATGGACATGTCGGTAGAGTGGTAGAAGACTTCAAAAGTACTCATGGTGACTACGATTTTGGAGTAACTGATGAAGAAGGTAGAGCTATTTTAGATTTTGCTTTAGCGTTTGATTTTGTTATTACTAATACTTTATTCAAGAAAAGGGATGAACATCTTATTACTTATAAGAGTGGATCTAATAAAACACAAATTGATTATTTTCTTATGAGAAGAAGAGATCGTCATGATTGTAAAGATTGTAAAGTCATTCCAAGTGAAAATTTAAATACCCAACATCGTTTATTAGTTTTAGATTTTAAGATTAAGAGTTGTAAAATAAAAAATACCAGGACTCATCATTGCAGAATTAGATGGAGAAACTTAAAAGATACAAATAAAATTAATTTTATGAGTAAAATTCAAGATTTCAAAATTTGGGATATTCATGAAGAAGCAAATGTGATGTGGGATAAAGTAACAAACGCTATTAAACATGTAGCAAAAGATGTTCTTGGAGAATCAAAGGGAAAAATATTTACAAATAAAAATAGTTGGTGGTGGAATAATAATGTGCAAGAAAAGATAAAATATAAGAAGTTATGTTATAAAAATTGATTTAAATGTAAAAACTTAGAGAACTGGAGAAAATATCAAACGGCTCGCAGGGAGTCTAAAAGAACAATCTGTGATGCTAAAAATTCTGCTTTTAATGATCTTTATAATAGATTAGATACTAAGGAGGGTGAAAAATATATGTATAAACTAGCCAAACAAAGAGAAAAGAAAAGTAAAGATTTAACTCAAGTAAAGTGTATTAAAGATGAAAATCAAAAAGTACTTTTCTTAGAAAAAGATATTCAACATAGGTGGGTGAGTTACTTTTTTTCTGTCAATATCTCAAAAAATACATAAACATAATAGGTTTCTGGAGATTTGAGTTGATTATTTAGGGAGATTTGGCTATGTGATTCTAGTTTAAGGATTCTATCGGCAACGGCATCTTTAATGAGATATCCTCACTGTAGAAAACCATATTCCGAACGTTTTCTTTTCGTTTTAATATGAAAACAATTCAATAGGGAATATAAAGAAATGTGTTTACTGGAAATGCATTTTTACCAATATTATGATTTGTTGGTATATGTGCTGCAATATCTATAAGTTTGCTTATTTTCTGATTGAAGATCTGGGTTTTGATAGTAGCAGGGCAACTAAACGACTCCATTTTTGTTATTATAGTCTTATTTTCATTTGCATTTCTTATCATTTTACCACCTATGATGTATGATACTGATTGTTTAGTAAACTCTTATAGCAGTTTCTCATGATCATAAAGGGGATATTCAGAAGGTATGAAAGATGGAATCCTGTGCACCCAACAATAGGTTTGTTTTGGGGCGTGGGGGTTGGCATTGGCTGTGGCATTGGATGGGGTCCTGGGTTTGGTCCTGAGGTTATTGGCTACGTTGGTGCTGGCTGTGGTATAGGCTTTAGTGTTGGTGTCACTGTTGCTGGGATTGGGATTGGCCTTCCAGTGAATGGAGTTGAGCAAATCCCACACAATGGTAAATTTTTGCTTTATTTGTTCATGCTTTAAATCATGAGAGATTATGCATTGACTTAGATGCCCTTGAATTTTCTCTGATTTTGTCCACGTTTAAACACTTGATATTATTTGTTGAGTTTTTTATTCTGAGAAGAAACTTGAGCTAGAGAGATTAATTTGCTCTTTTTAGTCTCTGTTTATGAAAGGGTTGCTTTATGTTTCATCTCTTTAGAATGAAATTCATACATTGAGAAGTGATTTCTTATGTTTTCTTGGTTTATCTTGCATCCTTCTGCTAATCTTTTTCTCTTACGAAGCTCAGGATTATATCAGATTCATTTGAATTCTTAAATTTCTAAAGATATCATATGCATTCCATTCAGTGGAAGTGGTTTTAATTTTAAACTGAAAAGATGAATGATATACTTGAAGCACAAATTAGATAGACTAAAAATATGGACAATAAGAATAGAAAGGTTGAGCTACTAAATCACAAGTAGTTTTCTTTTTGAACTTTTTGAAGGAAATAAATTATTTTTGCAAGTTTTGTAGTGTAATTTTACATAAAAGTTTGGGGTGCAATTTATATATAATAGTAGTTATGGATAGAATAAAGTCGTCTTAGATGGTTTGGTCATATTAAACGTCGACCATTAGATGATCCGATTAGGAGAGTAGATGTTTTAAATTCGACTTGTGTTAAGAAAGGTAGAGGTAGACCTAGGAAGACTTGGGCTTATTGTATTAAAAATGATCTTAATTTACTAGAACTAAATGAAAATATGATACTAAATAGGACGCAATGGAGAAAAAGGATTCATGTAGCCGACCCCACATAGTGGGATTAAGGCTTTGTTGTTGTTGTTGTTGTTGTTGAGTTAATATATATAGTAAGTTTTGGCTGACACCTTAAAAATCGGGAATGTATACACCAACCCGAGAAAATCCTTGATTTTAGTTAGCTAATATCTGAAAGATTTTATTGGCTTATCACACAAGCTTATCGTTTACAAATTTTCAACATGTGTTTTTTATACAATATGCATAGTGTTTTTGATAGTTTCAAAATGATTATTGCATGAAAGAAATTGAAATAATTAACGAAATGAATGCACAAAAAATATGAACACTTCAATTGTAAACCTAATCTAATATGCAAAAAATTGTGTAGAAATAAATTAAGATATGTATATTCATTTAATGAACAAAAAAAAACCTTAAAATGGGATACCGATATAAATAAAGTGCAATGATAGAACAGACAGACTACACAATAACTATAATTCTAATACAAGCAATGATAGCACTCATAATAACGAATTGTATATTTATTTCTTAATAAATAATAGTTGCTTGCATCGAGCTAAATGATATAAGGTATAAGATTCTAGGCTTATATATGATGCAACTAATAGTGACTGTGAATTTGACCCAAAAGTCCTACACCATACAAACATTCAATTAGCTATAACTACACCAATAAACATGTTAAAATTAACTCTAACCTTAGCTATCTCATAATATAGCCAAATCCATTTTTGAATTTCTTTATTATTGTAGTTAGCATAATAATACAAATAGGAATTAATCCTAATCTAACATGATCACTAAGTGATTGGAAAAATAGTAATTCTAATTAAAAAAAAAGTTAAATTAATTTCAAACTAAATAATACAGTTATTATATCGAGAAAAGAAAAATAAAAGAAGGTGAAACTATTTGTTTGGTCATGAAAGGAGGAGGCAAAACAGAGAGAATCAACGAGTGTCCCAAAGTCGAGAGAAAAAGGGCTGAGAAATGTTTGCTTTTTGGTGAAGTGGGAAGTTGAGAATTGATTGGCTGAACGGTGAACTTGATGGTTGTAAGAAGAGAGGGTTAATGCCGATTAAAGGAGGAGGCTTATGACTAGGGTTTCTGAAGGGAAATGAAAGAAACTCAACAGCTACTAGAGACGAAGGTTGTGATGCCCTAGCTCACAAGTCTCTTTAACTAGGAGGAGAGGTGGTGTGGGTGTTGTTGATGTGCAGGAAAACTAAGTTGGGCTATCGAAAAAGCGGCTAGGTAAAAAAGGAAATGAAAAAAATTATGATTAACTCACGGATTAGAGGAAAGGTGGTGTCGATCACCTTAAGTGAGCGAGGGGCAAAGGCTGCTGGAGCGACTGCTGCTGGAGCGACTACTGCTGGGTTGCTCATGGGTGATTCGTGCAAAGGAGAGGGGTTCCTTTGAGCCAGTTCAGTTCTCTACATAAAGAATAGTAAAGTCTTGGAGACGCTGACAACCATTGATCACTTGTCCAAATTTTATGAAAAAATTAAGTTGTAAACTTAGTAAGTATGGTGATAGAAATGAGAAGGTGACAGCGAAGAACGAGCCAATCGGGCATAACTCCACCAATTTTCTTCTAACTATACACTTGACAGAATTTTGCATCCAAGGACATAATTTTATTGAAACAATGCTAGTTTAACAACAGTCATAGACTCAATACCAAGTAAAAGCTAGATGTCACTCACATTATAGCTAATTGCTAAATACTCTCTAAAGTCAACTCCAAATATAGGTAGAGGATCGATACAGTCAGAGTTGTAACCCTAAATTGATTGGAATGTTATTTGCATTAAGTATCATGTATCATAGTTTTATGTGTAATTCACATTGGAGTGGATGATCTAATCACCATCTAATTTATTTGGATTCTTATGGTGGGGGATGTCCCTTGACTTTTCATGGCTCAAGTTAGGGGTGATAATTATCTATAAAAACTTGCATTCATAAGAACTCTCAAATTCAAATTTAAATAAATCCTAATTGAAATTTTTGAGAATGAAAGAAAGCAAACAATATTGTGTATTATGCTTTTCTAATCGATGAATCTCTTCTCGCATTGCATGTATTCAATATTTTCAGTCTTGTCTAGTAAGTGCCTCAATTAAATTTTTTGGAGTAGAAATAGTGTTTAGCTCAATAAATTTCTTTTGCGGGCTGTAGTAAGATGCTAAAAATTTTTTTAGTACTAAATAAAATAGCCCAACAAATAAGTTCATTTTGCACTAAATGACATGGCCAACAACGCCTAGTGTACATAAACATTACTATCGAGTCTGGATAGGAAACAATGACTAATGGCAACATGTAGTGTACCAATATTATTTACATGGTAGTAAATATGATGATGAATTTTCATCATACGAATTGATGGGAGAATACTCTAGGACCTAAAAATTTGATGTATAGATTTGTAAAATATCATCATTCTAGAACAAATAACATAAACTCTTTTGTCATGAGCGGAGCATTTGCCACTAAATGACACATGATTAGATCGAGCATAGTGGTCATAGTAATTTAAATAAGCTCTGATTTGTTATTTATCATGACTAAACAAGAGCATGCCAACATGGTTGCTGATCTACTCGTTGTTGATGACCGATTGTAGTGGAGATTAATATGTTGGTTCCATAAACTAGTGTTAGCGACAATAAAATTTGTTGATGTTGCCGTCCATTTGCTTTTGCAGCTTTCCCGCATGAAGAGGAAGATAAAAAATAAGAGCTGGGCTAATATGATTAAATTAAAGTTGATTCAGCTTTTTATATCTTGGCGAACTTATTTATTTATTATTATTATTAAAATGAGTTTGATAAGAAATTTTTTCATTTATTTATGTCTTGGTAGACTCAACACTTGACAAATTCTTAGCTTGTGTCCGTCCTAGCAGGGAAAACCAGTGCTCTTTTACAGCGTTCTATGCTGGACTTTCCAATGCGGGATCCACTATTCTGGGTCATAGGCTGGGTTGGGACATATGATGACTTTCCTTGAATTTCCTTGAATAAAGCAAAATGCAATTTTCATTGAGAAATTCCTCAGCCTGGGTACATTTTATCTTGAAATAAGCAACTACCAAAACCTGCATTCCAAAATTTCACATGATATAAGTTCATTAGCAATCTTATTACAAATTACTCAATGGTTAAATTTCAATGTAACCTAACTAATTTGTGTGTTTTTAGGATAACCATACATTTGAAACTCTGGGACAAATGCTTTTATTTCCATATTCATGTTGATTTCACCATTATATTCCTTATTCCTACTGATATTATTCCATATTGCATGCTACATTAAGTTTCAGGTAAATTAAAATTCACTCAAGTCACTGAGTTTCTCCTTACCTCAAATTTGACGATGCATAAAACTTCATGCTTCTCGCTTATATAATTTTTATATCGTCATTGGCATTGATACTTCCTGCTAGTAACTATAAAGAGTACACAATTTAGTAACGAAATTTATTGTTGCTGGCAATAAGTGAAGAAGTAATCAGCTTTCTTTTGTCACAAGTGCCGGTAATATATCATTCAAGAAGATTTATTTGGTTTTTTTTTTCTAATTTGAAAGTATGATTTTTTGTCAAAAAGAGCTTGGTGCTGTGGCATTTTTATCTGAAGTTTTCCGATTAATTGCATTTGAGTCTTGTTGTTAGCCCGCTCTTTGCTTTTGAGTCATCCTCAATCCTTTGTTTCTCTACTTCTAATTCTCAGGAAAGATATGCCGCGTCCACCCCAAGTATTCTTTTTAATTTGGAACTAGATACCTTACGGTATGCAAAATATGTTGTTGTTGTTGGATTGAGGCATTAATGACAGATTATTGATGTTCAAATTTCCTGATTTGGCTGTTGCAGTTCTGACTTAGGTTTGTTGGGATTCCCAACTAAGGAATTGCATTACCGGTTTCTTTCTCAATTTTTACCAGTGTTCTATATTCGAACCAGAGAATATTCTAAGGTAATTTTTTTCTTTTGCTTTTCTGGTTTGCCTCTTTATAGTTTTGAGGAAGATTTACATACGTACCACTCAATTTCTATGTATTTACATAACTAACACCTAAACATCAACTTTTACAAGCTTGCCACCTTACCGATGCATAAAAAAAAGGTGTATTTCACTTTTTTAAAATTTAAAATAGTGATAGTTTGGATGTGATATGAAGGATTTAGCTGATATAAATGTAAAAAAGTGAAGTTTAGATGTTAGATATGTAAATGCATAAGAATAGGGTGGTATGCATGTAAATGCCTACATGCCCCTAGTTTTAACAGCGTTGTTTCTTGATTCAAAGACTGTACCAGTTGCGCCCTTTGTAGTGAATTATAATGGAGCCTTATTTCGTCAATATCCTGGTAAGTATGTTTATGAATTAAACATTTTGAGTTATCACAAGTTGAAATTACATTTTTAGCCTTAATCCCTCTTATGCTGTGAAAAGCTACTGGTAGGCAGTGATATGTTTCAATTAATAAATAATTTGTTGTTGGTAAGTGTGATTGGCATGATCAATGAACCTGAGCATTTTTTTTCTTATATTTTGATGCATTTACCATTGACTTATTTATCAATTTTTGCCAGCTAAGCTTTGGTAAGTTGCAGAATATATTAGAAAATAGGCATTTGATGACTTGGATCTGATCTGCAAATAGCTAAGTGGCATTTACATATAGACCACCCGAAACTTGCTATTTACAAATCAACAGCCCTCTTTCATCCATTTTTTAAATTCGCACTCAGATATCAAAATTTACGGTAAAATCCAACCCTATTTTTCATTTTTATCAAATTCTCAATAGTTTGACCGTTGCACATGTAAATACATCAGGTCAGTAGTTCAAAAAATCACCTAAGTGGTTAATTTGCAAAAATCAATATTTTGGGTGGTCTGTATGTAATTTTCCCAATAGGTAATTGGTGAAAATGAGGACATCTTCATGAAGTTGATATGCTCCCGAACCAAAATCAATAACAACAAAATGACAACAGATGGATGAAAACAATTCAAATAAGGAAACACAAATGAAAACAAATAAGATACAATGGTGATTTACTTTTCGAGAGGTAGATCAGATCTCCTACAACCTTAGACGTCGCTAGGAACACAAAAAGAAGAAAAACACAACAACCCACCAAAACATGCATAAAAAAAAGAACAAACCTTAGTTCCTGTGATATCTGAGGAGAAAATCCAAACCACAAAAACTTTTATTAATAGGAAAAGAGAGTTACAAAACAGTCAAATTGAAAATAATATCACCAAAACACAAACAGACGCCACGAGAGTGTATCCTAAGGGCGGTGGAGGTTGGTTGGATGGTGCGGTAGCAAGCTGAGAAGGTGGGACAGTAATTGAGAGTAGCGGGATAGCAATTGGGACGACAAGAAAGTAGAGGAAGCAGCCTGCTGGCTGCAGAAGGGTGCTAGACAGTAGTGTGCAGGGGTGCAGTTAGGAGTTGGAGGTGATTTGGCGGGCTTGGAAGTAGCCGACTGTTGCTGGGCAGAGGATAGGAGTGGCAGCGACTTGTAGGGTTGGGAGACGCTCTGATAGCTGCAGGAAAGTAAAGGATAGCGGCCTAAAGGGGTGCAGAGAGGACGGACGGACAAATTAATATCTCGGCTGGGTCGAGATACAGCTGGAGCACCACTCAGACCTTTGGAGACAATCACACCTCAGACAAGGGATATCCGGAGCACTTCCTCGACGTTGGATACAACCGTCGAAGGGAAAAACTCTTGGATAAACCATAATTCAGATATTATAACAACACCCCTCACTCTAAGCATATCATCTCCTATTTATAAAGAGATTAGACTTATTTTAGGTAATGAAAATAGGAAATGATTTAAAATAAGAAAGAATATTAAAATATAATCAGGATTTCAGATTTTTAGGAAATGATTTAAAATAAGAAAAGCGAATAAAATATAACCATAATTTCAGATTTTAGGAAAATATTTAAAATAGGAAAGTGCTAGGAAGGAAAGAAAGGAAATGGTGGAAAGGAGAGGAAAGGGAGGGAAAGGAAAGGAACAGGAGGCATAGGTGGCAACCCCTACTTAAGGACTGGCCCCCATAGCCCCACGTCTTCCTCCCCATAATAGAATCCTCCCACAACATTTCAAATTTTCCTTCTGAATTTTCCCTCCAAACTCCTTTAATTTCTCCTCCTTAAATATGTGATTAAGGCCCTCGTGGACCCCACATTCTCCCTACCTTCTTCTGTCGTGGCAAATAACCGCCCCTCTCCTTCACGCGAGAAAGAATGCCCCGCCTGCTATTGTGGCAGGTCAGTTGGGTGGATATCGACCGGTCCAGGAGGGAGCAGGTGTAACTGTACTCCCCTCCCAAAGTATCTTGTCCTCAAGGTGGAAGGATGGAAACTGCTTGTGGATCATCTCGTAAGACTCTCAGATTGTTTCATAGTCTGTGCACTCCTTCGATCTCTAGCGGCTGCAGAATCACCTCCAAGTCCCCCCTAAACGTCGGTGGTAGTGTAGACGATGGTGTATGATCTCTAATGACATGTCTCAACTGTGATACATGGTAGACCGGGTGTAGTGCGGACGTTGGTGGTAACCTCAAACGGTAGACCACTGCTCCGATACGTGTCATCACCTCATAAGGTCCAAAGTATCGCAGTGAACGTTTCTCGCTTCTGCTCCTGGCCAATGTCTTCTGTCATTAGAGCTTCAGTTTCAAGTAGACTATGTCCCCTGGTTCAAATTACACCTCTCATGTGTTCATCTGCTTTCCTCTTCATGATTTGTTGTTCTCTAAGTAGATGTCCATTGAGCTCTGCTAGTATCTTGTCCTTTTCCTCCAAATACTGATCGATGTTGGATTCCAGTGTGGCGTTGTGCCCATAATGTATCTAATGAGGTGGATCTTGCCCATACAATATCTTGAAAAAGGCGGTCTTTGTTGCGGTGTGGTACGAAGTATTATACTAATATTCGACCCAAACAAAAAACTAGGCCCATAGCTTCTACATATCAGATACAAAACAATGCAGGTATGTCTCCACACTCCTATTGGCCACCTCCGTTTGTCTATCGGTCTAGGGATGATATGCGGCGTTTCTCTTAAGGATTGTCCCTTACAACCTGAATAGCTCCTTCCATAAGTGGCTGAGTAACACCTTGCCCCCATTCGATACAATCGATTCCAACAATGCGTGCAAATGGACCAGTTCCTAGATGAATACCGCCATGACTGAGACCGCCGTGTTGGGATGTCATAAGGGAATGAAATGTGCTTACTTAGGCAATTCACGACCAACCAGATCACCATAAATCTTTCTGACCATGGCAAACCCTCGATAAAATTTATCGTGATTTCTTCCCAAACCTTCCTCGGTAATGTTAATGGTTGTAGTAACCCTCCTGGTGTCGTGGTCAAGTACTTACACTGATGACACATTGCATTTTGCCACCATGTCCACATCTCTGCGCATCCCCACCCAATAAAGCTTTGTCGCTAGACGATTGTAGGTTTATGTACCTTGAGTGTCGCTCGATGGCACTGCTATGAAATTCTTGTAGTAATTTGATAATATATTCCGATGCCTTGGGTAGCATGAATCGCCCATGATGGAGCAGCTACTGCCCCCTCAATGCATATCCTGGATGACTATTTGGATCTTGTAGTAGCTCGACTCTTATCTTCCTCAGCTCCTCATCCCGTTCTCTTTCTTGTCTCAAGGTTTCTCACTTTAGGACCAAGGGTACTGATATGACCGTCAGTTGGGTTCTTCCCCCTTTCTCGATAGTGCACTGACTACCTTCTTTTCAATTTCTGGATGGTACTGAATCTCGAAATCATACCCAGTAGCTTGGATAACCATCTTTGATGCTCCTCAATCACCATCCGCAGCTTCAGAAGATACTTTAAACTCCTCTGATTTGTCCTGACCAGAAAATGTCGTCCTAATAGGTAGGGGCAGCTACTTCTGAATGACCATGATAATTACCATCAATTCTCATTCATATACTGACTTTAACCTTGCTCTGTTTGTAAGAACTTGGCTGAAGTAGGCAATCGATCGCTGGTCCTACTTGAACACTGCTCCCAATCCGTTCCCTGATGCATCTGTTTTTATCATAAATGTTTTACTAAAATCTGGAAGTGTTAATACTAGGATGCTAGTCATGGCTCTCTTCAAATGTTTAAATGCCTATGTTGTTGCTTCACCTCATTTAAAATTGTCTTTCTTCAACAGCTCTGTTAGTGGCCATGCTATCGCTCCACATCCTCTCACAAACTTCCAGTAGTAACCGGTGAGACCTAGGAATCCTCTCAACTCTTTCAAACTCCTTGGTAAGGGCCAATCTACTATAGCCTCGATCTTGGACTGATCCACGTCTATCCCTTGTTCTGGTCACCACATGTCCTAGGTATTTTACCTGTAACTGTGCAAATGAGCATTTTTTTAAGTCGGCATAAAACTGGTGCATCGTCAACGTCTCTAGGACTGTCCTTAGGTGCTCCACATGCTTAATCTCTATATGACTATATATCATAATTTCATCAAAAAAAGACCAAGATAAATTTTCGGAGGTAAGATTAAAAAACCAAATTCATGAGGGATTGAACTTTCATCGTGGCGTTGGTGAGGTCAAACGATATCACCATGAACTCATAATGCCCTTCGTGTGTCCTGAACGCTGTTTTGTGCACATTTGTTGGATTCCTCTTGATCTGGTGGTATCCCTACTTAAGATCAAGTTTTTGAGAACCGACTGCCCCATAAAGCTTATTCGGTAACTCATCATTCATGGGAATAGAGAACTTGTTCAACACCGTCTCCTTGTTCAAAACCCGATAGTTCACTCAAAATCTTCAATTTTCATATTTTTTCTTCACCAATAGGACTGGAATGGAAAAAGCACTAACACTAGACATGATAATCCCAGTCTCGAGCATCTCTCGGATCAGCTTCTCTATCTCATCCTTCTAAGTCTGGGGGTACCTGTATGGTCTGACATTGATATATGAAACACCCTTCTTTAATGTAATAGAGTGCTCGTGCTCACTCATGGCAGGTAGCCAGCTTGGCTGTTGGAATTGCTAGACCTCTTCAATACATCTGTAAACTGCTGTAGGAGCTGTTAGACCCCGTCAAGAAACTCTGCCAACTTTGAATCTCGAATCTCTTCAATTCTCTGCAACTCCACCAAGTAGCCCAGTCGTGCTCGAATCGACTTGGCCATGGTTTTGAGTGACACCATAGTTTATCATAAACTAGCATCTCCTCTCAGCATTACTTTCCTACCCCCCATTTGAAGCTCCATTGTCAGGGACTTCCGATAAACCTTCAACTCTCCAAGCGTTCGCAACCACTTCATCCCCACA